ACACACACACACACACACACACACACACACACACACACACACACACATGTACACAAAGCATACGCAAATATACAAAATTCAGCAGCACCAGGTTTTGTATTGAAAATAATCAGAAAACACGACAACAATAAGAACAATCATAAATGCTTTGTTGCGCAATTTGCACAATGGTAACGAAAAAAAAAATCAAAAAAAAATAAGAAAAAATACATTTTGGGCAACTTCATTATAGCTTTTTTGTTTGCTGTTGTCTGATCGTGTGTATGTGTTTCACTTAGCTTAAAGTGTGATGTGATATTTTTTTTTCTATTTTTGTTTTTTTTTTTTGTTTTTTCTGCTTTTTGTATACGAATGTGTTTGATTATTTTTAGAGCGCAATATTGGAATACGTGACTGTTATGTTGTATTTTTGCGGTAATTGTTATACCTTGTACCACACTACCATACCGCTACCGCTAACGTCACTACACATCTCATCACCTCTCTATTATTCTTATGTTAACGTATTCTTGTAACTTGCGCTTTGTTAAATTTAAAACTAAGTTCAACAGGTTGCGATAATATTTGTCAAAAAAAAAAATGTACATTAATGTCTTTTAGATAACAATACTAACAACAGTAGTGCCGTAATATCGTGTAAAATAGATTAAAGCATTTATCGTGGGTAGTCTAAAAAATTATGAGCCTTCAGTCAAAATTCATTTCTTCATTTCTTCTTCATTCAATTGAAATATTTTTTGCATTCTTTATACTCTGATGTTACATATTTTTTGATCAAATCAAATCAAATATTGTTTTGAAATTAATAAGTTCACGGTAATAGTCTTTGATGAGAACGCACTGTAAATAGCAATAACAAGTACACTCAATAAATCAATATGAGAAACGAATATTTACAAGTAACTTAAATTTATCGCTAACTTTATTAAAGCTTCGGCAAAATGCTTTGTATTTACACTGAGCCTTTTTTTACTATCATATTGGTGACTGGTTGTTTACCTCACACAATAGTTTTGATGCATCCCGCCAGAGAATGTTTTCTACTTTTGCCTTGTTCTCATCGTAAATCTTGCAAATATTATTCGTAGATCTCATAAGACAAGATAGCTGACGTGTTACTTTGACTTCACTTATGCATTAACTGTTCCATTTTACATCTCAAATTTGGAAATGAATGCAACCTGATTACAAACAGTTAGTAAAATTTGTGTTAGCAAATAGTAACCTGAAATTTACACGATAGTATACAATAGTAGTCTTGAAGTTTGCTGCACATACTAATTGAAACAATATAAATACGAAAATTATATACGCCCTGACGTGAATTATTGACGCATCAATATGTCAAACCAGAATGAAAAATAAAAAAAAAAAATTATATTCGTTTGCAACCATTTTTATGTCACTTTTGGATTAGTGTTTTAGTAGTGTATTAGTTGAAAGTTGCAATTGTTGGCCCAGGGTGAGCAGCGTCATGGGACCATATGCTTCATTGAAAGCTTTTGAAAACAGTTTCTTAAATCATTTTTGAAAATACTTTAAAAATTTTTTTATTACTTGATGTAAGTCTTCTAAATGGAACCTACGTGGCGTCTACTTACGAATGTCGTAATTTTTTTGGAGACCAAAGGTTTTCAAATTTTCCGATTGTGAATTAATCTTCATAACCATATCAATAATTCACTTGAGTTAAGCTATTTTGTTGAATTGATTAATATCCTTACGTGAGAACCTGTCGCAATGTTTCCTTGTTTAGTTAGGAATTTTGCTGCAGACAATTTAAGTTAAGAAAATGGTGTTAAGTGGTGAAAATGGTCGAAAT